ACATAGGAAAAATAAATCTGCGAAATGAAAATAGCGGAATGAAGCAACGACCAATCACATCCATTCCGCCAATTCCGCATTTCCGCAGATCCGCTCCATCTGAGTGCACCCTTAGGCTGGAGTCACATGGAGCGGAAATTACAGCGGAACGGAACAGTGAAACCAATCAGTACTCTACAATCATTCCGCTACTTTACTTTCTGCGATTGTGATTGGACTCGCTGTTCCGTTCCGCTGTAGATTTCCGCTCAATGTGACTCCAGCCTAAAGCTTAGAGTACTGATTGGTTTCACTGTTCCGTTCCGCTGTAATTTCCGCTCCATGTGACTCCAGCCTTAAGCGGGGAGCACAGACTTTTGCATAACGCATAAACCATATGCTGGATTCACACTGCATCCGAATCTCATCGTACGACGACTCAGCAACCAATCAGGAAACAAAATTTTGCTTCGTATCGATGATACGATCTTTCTGATTGGTTGTAAAGTCGTCGTACGACGAAAATCGGATGCAGTGTGAATCCAGCAATATACATAAAGAATTTGATTGGTCCATTGACTCATGCATAAGAAAATGGGCCAATGAAATTCCTTATGCACATGCTTTATGCGTTATGCAAAAGTCTGTGCTCCCCGCTTTACTCTTGACGTGCGGTGCCACGCGAAGTTAGCACCGCATATTTTTATTTTAAAAAATTTTTAGCCTAAATCAACGGTACTGTTCACTGAACTATACTACTGGAAGGCTCACTGAGGCCATCTGCCCGAATAGACAGAGAGAGTCAGTTTAGATATCTTTGTCCTTGTCGGTACAGTCTGAGTCAAGAGTGCTTTCCATGCTGAATCTTCGGATCATGGGCCGGTATTCATAGTCAGTTCTTATATTCAAGACCGTCTTAAGTTCAGTCTTGAAGAGTTACGAACCAATCAGGCCGCTTTAGCATTTTAAGATTTACTTAAGACAGTCTTCAAATAAGAACTGACTATGAATACCGGCCATGGAGATAGAAATATAGGGACAGAGTATTAGCTCCGAAGATAGGCGAGGGGGGTTGTCCTGAAATGCGGGGGGCGATTGTGCCTACATTTTATTGGCTACAGCTATGCACATGCTCAGTATCGTGTAACATCGATTTAGCGGCCAATCGCAAATAAATGATCGAAACAAAATAATAAAAATTCGTTGTTAAAAAATTAATTGTAACCCATTACCGCAATAAGATTAACAAAATAAAACAATAATTAGAAATCTGAGAAGGAATTATATAGAAGTTCTAATGAGAAAAATAAAAATATGTACGCATATTCAATATTAAACAATACTATTTATTTGGTACTTTTTTATACACTATGAAAAAATTTACTAAATTTTAATAAATATTTCTTTGAATAGTTCTAGCGAAATATTTAATGAATGTAAAGACGTATTTATTAGACCTAAGAATCATTACATGAAGGAAGATATAAGGAGACTCCACTCAGTCTCGCCAGTCTACAAAACATGGACCCATTTTAGGTTTCGAGTTCCGTTTCCGATTCTCGACACTCGCAGCGCTCGTGAATTTAGTAGTGCTGCGCATAATGAGTGCGAGTAAGAGAAATGATCATTTCTCTTACTCGCACTCATCAGAATCGGAAGCTGAACTCGAAACCTAAAATGGGTCCACTTTTATTTTATAGAGTGGAGTCTCCTTATATCTTACTTCCTGAATCATTAGTTTGAATCATAGATATTTATATAACACTAGATCGTTAACTTCCATATATACCGTGCATAAAAATTGATTCCAAAATTTATGTATTTCGAAGCGTGACGTCGGAATGAAACGGTCACGTGGTATATACTATTGTGTAATGGCCGTGGTAAGGTCACATGGGCGATATACGTACGTGTAACGTTCGTTTGTGCGTGATTTTGGAAAATTTACAATGCCATTATCAATTATCGTGTTAAAAGTTGCCGCCGTTTAAGTGGAAAAGAAAATCAAGTGGTAATATTTCATAGGTAAGTCGCAATCATTCTCGTATTTTATTGTCTCCAGATGCGTCGGCTGCTAGTAATGCGCCAACGTCACGGACACGTGACATGGGTTTAGTACATACTTTTAGGAATCATGTACTAGAGCCCAGTTAGCGATCTAGTGTTATATAAATATCTATGGTTTGAATCAACTATAATTTTTTTCATTTATCTAAATATTTATTTACCATAAGTAAATATTCCATTAGGACACTTCAAAGAAATATTTATTAAAATTTAACAAATATTTTTTTTAGTGTAGATAAAAAAAATACAAATTAGGATTATAGATTTATATATTAAGATAGATTATACGATAGGATGGTTGTTTAGATCTTATATATGTTTATACCCCTTACAATTAATTTGGACACGTCTTTCTAATGGCGAATTCGACAGACTGCACTAGTGCGCACCAGTGCGCACTGAGTGCGAACTTTTTTGGTGCCACGCATTCGGAATGTGCGCACCGTATCAGTGCGCTTAGATTATCGTATTCGGCAAATGAAAACTGACCTAGTGTAGTGCTGAATTTGTATTCGGACGAACCGAATGAACCGAACGAGTGCAAGAAATATTGCACTGACATTTTTTGTCAGTGCAGTTTGGTGTACGGACAAATAAAACCAGTTAGGCAGCAAAAAATTACAAAATGGATAAATAAAGACTATTATTTATTATAGATAAATTATTAGAAACAAGTAGTAGTAGTGATGATGAAGATATGTTATGTTTAATAAAAGAAGAAAGGCCGGAAGTTAATTAAAAACAAAAACATTAAATTATTATTATTATTATTATTAATTAAAAATTAAATTATTAATTGAATTATTAATTAATGTAGTTCTGCATTCGCTCCGTGTCAGGGCAGCACCTTATCAGAGCAACACCGTGTTAGGGCAGTACCGTGTCAGGGCAGCACCCTATCAGGGCAACACCGTGTCAGGGCAACACCGTGTCAGGGCAGCACTAGAACCGTGTCAGTGCATATGTATCGAATGTGCCATAAGCCTTTCTAAGCACAAGAGTTAAAATATTAATAGGTTAGAGTGGTAAAGTTGCATGCACATATATCAACACACTTGTCACTTGCGCATGCGTACAATAACAGCCAATCAGACTTAGGCACATATTACTTCGTCGCACCGTCCCGCAGTGGGACCCCCCCGCATCGTTATGCTCTGTCCCTACATTTCTATGTCCATGCTTCGGATCCACTGAACTAGTTCAGTGTTCGGATCACAAATCACAACACTTTTGATTATGAATGTACGACGGTCAAATGCACATGCGCCATGAAGGACAGCGATATCTAAAGTAGCTGTCTCTGTTTATTACGCCGTTTACTACTGTTTCATAGGGCAGAGAGCTTTCCAGTAGTATAGTTCAGTGGTACTGTTGATAAAACCCATGGTAGAAATACAAGGGTATGCTCATTCGGTAGACGAATTTAGAAAGCCTTTGCGCAGCAGCCAGCTACGTCACACATGACGTCACATTCGTGCAATCTCGGTTACATTCGGACCACTTCGGCCGATTTAAAATATGGCTATATGCGACATTGTGGAGAAATTCTGTTTATTAGTTATTGTTTGAATAAAAAATTTGGCTGTGCAATGAGTGCTTGTGCAGTAAAAGGGTGTAAAAATAGTTACCGAAAAATGAAAGGGAAAACGGTAAAATTTTTTAGATTTCCTAAAGACGAAGAAATTGCTGCAAAGTAGCGTAAAGTATGCAGGAATGAAGTGAATATGAATTATGGTAAGCTGTAAATGCTTCAAAGCATTCTTTGATCGATCAATTCCAAAATTCTTCTGATTGATCAACGAAGTTGATCGAATTTTCAGTATTAAATGGATCATATCCAAGTATGTTCGTTCGGAACAAACAGCTCCCGAGAGACAAAACGAACAATACAATATGAACGTATTCGTAATTTAATTATATTATATAATTGTAATGATTTATTTTGAAGTTATGTTGTACGTAATATTACTTTACATTATTTATATACTTTGTTTCGAATGTGGATTTATAATATTCACATTTTATTAACTTGTAATATAATATATACTACATGGGCTGAAAAGTCCCGGGATTTTTAATGAAAACAAGCGTTTTTTGGGCAAAGTTATATTCATTCCTCAACATAGTTGCCTTCGAGGGCGATACACTTGGTATAGCGATTTTCCAACATTTTCGATGCCCTTTCTGTAGTACGAAACGTCCAAACCTTCAAAATACGCCTCGGTTTCCGCGATGACTTCCTCATTTGATCTGAATCTCTTTCAGGCGTCTGATAAGAGGGGAGCACAGACTTTTGCATAACGCATAAACCATATACATAAAGAATTTGATTGGTCCATTGACTCATGCATAAGAAAATGGACCAATGAAATTCCTTATGCACATGCTTTATGCGTTATGCAAAAGTCTGTGCTCCCCGCTATAATCTTAGAGCATACATACATGGAGGAGGAGTTGCCTATGCCGCCTATAGACTAAAAGTGTGTCCAAGATCTATGCGAGAGAGAAAGGTATAAATTCCTAATCGTTCTCTGTGCGCATGTGTCACGCATTCGTTGAACTGAAAGCTGTCAGAAAGCTGTTAATAAATATTTGTCATGTCTGTGCAACTTTTATTACTGCAAACTCTACTAATTCAATATAAATTAATTTAAAAAATAGAAGTAATTTAGTTTTTCCTTCACCAATAAAAAAATTTTATTAAACTCACTTTTTTATATATGTATTATATATTTCGTATGTATTAAATATTTTATATGTACTACATATGTGTTATATATTTCAATTATGCGCGTATGTGTAAATACTTATTACTTCCTGCACTATATTGTACTCCAATAATTTTGAATAGGTTATATGTCAACTATTATTCATTGTAACTAACATATTTACAGCGTAGCATCTGATAATTTTAACGCATGCGTACAGAAGACGATTAGGAACTTATATCCATCTCACTCGCACAGATCTTGGATACACTTTGAATTGGCCATTCCCTCTCCATGTATATATGCTCTAAGATGATAATGGACCCACGTTTCATTTATCGTCACAAAACGTCGAAAAAAGTCCTCTCGATTACGCTGCAACAACGCCAAACCGGCCGTTGAATCAACACGCTGCTGTTTCTGGTCGACGGTCAGCAAGAGCGGCACCCATCGCGCCGATAGCTTTTTCATCTCCAAAACATCGTGCAAAATGTATCCCGCCCGTTCTTTTGAGATGCCCACGGCCTCAGCTAACTCGCACAACTTCACTTTACGATCATTCAAAACGATTCGATACACTTGCTTTACGATTTCCGCATTCGTAGCCTCTTTTGGCCTTCCAGAGCGAGGTGCGTCTTCGGTGCTTGTACGACCCATTTTAAATTCACTAAACCACCGATAGACTGTTGTTCTCGAAGGAGCAGATGTGGGATAACATTTCTGCAACCATTGCAATGATCGTTCAGGAGTTTTTCCCATCAAAAAACAATGTTTGATCAAGATGCAATATTCCTGTTTTTCTATTTTTTTTACGAAGGCGAAAGTAGCGTCACTCAAACAACTGTAGCTTGTAAACGAATGGACGATATGTCATGAAACTCCATACATAAACTAGTGACAGATGAGCCTCTCGAAATTAGTCATGTTCATTTTCTAATGGCGCCAGCTGTTGAAAAATCCCGGGACTTTTCAGCCCATGTAGTATATCACATTAAATATTTAGTCCACTATTCTACAGGGAGAATATGTTCTGACCACTTTGATGTATCATGCTATGATAAGTCTGCGCAGCAGATAGCTTTACAGTATTCTCCTATAAGAAGTCAGAAGTTGAGACTTGATGCAATCCCTACAATAAATTTATTTGAGGAACCACATGTGGTTGAAGGAGTTAGGTAAATATTTTTGCATCATTTATAACTGCACAAGCACTCATTGCAAAATTTTAATTCAAACAGTAACTAATGCGCATCTACATATGCTAAAGATATACTCAATAAGGCAGTATCGTTGGATAGTATCATTGGATAGTATGATCGTATCATTGCAAAATAGATAGAGAAAAAATAAGAAAAAAGTGTTAAAATTAGTAAATAATTAAACTGTTTCAGTATGTAATTTCAAACGACTACGATTTTCTTTTCCTTCCAAAAAACCCTCACAATTTTTCAGGTCCTGCAATTTCATTATGTTTATACATAATGTACAATAATTTACAATATACGATTATTTATAATTAAATGTAATGTAATTAAATGTTAATGTTAATGTTAATTTAATGTTAATTAATTAATTAATTAAGTAATGTAATTAAATGTAATTTTATTTAATGTTCAATTACATGAATACAACATAATATTAATGCTACTAATTTTTATTTAATTTAAAAAATATCAACTTCCCAAGAATAAACAGCATTCATTACGGATGTAAATTATGTATTAATTACTAATTATTTTCTTAATATACAATTTCATTTCTGATTTTATTACAAATTAAAAGTGTTATTAATTAAATAATTAATAATTACAAGAATGTCCCACTCTGTCACGTGACTCTGTTGAATTTATTATAATTATTTAATTTTATTATTAAGAATTATTGGTTTCCAATATTAATTGCAGTTTAGTTAATATATGTACGAATTGTCATCACAAATTTATACTTATCAATCATCATTGCCATAAAATCCTTTCGCTTATCTTAATATATTGACGCTAAATTTAATTTTTTTATTTAATTTTATTATTTACAATTACTGGTTTCGAATATTAATTGCAGTTTAGTTAATATATGTACGAATTGTGACATCACAAATTTATACTTATCACTCATCATTGCCATAAAATCCTTTCGCTTATCTTATGTATTGACGCTACCATGATTTACTTCTTTTTTAAGGCGATGCTAAAACAGCTGTTTTTACCATGATTCTATTTGAAGAGAAAGATCCGAATTGGCTTTACGGATTGCAAAATCCTTTCACAAAATAAAAGTACGCACGAAAAGGTATACAGCAAACCCTGATTTCACGAAAAAATCGGAAAAAAATTAAAAAATTCACTTTTTCTGGCAAAGTAGGATCACGTTCAATATCTGTTTTTACCGATGTTCTACAACGCCATCTATTTCAAGACGGCGGCCGACGGCGCAACTACTTCTAAACGCAATTTCTGCTCTGTTGACGTTCCGATCCTCGCAAGATCGTGATTTCTATTTGAAAAGAAATATTTTTTTCTACGCTACATTTTATCTTGATTCTGCAAACTCAGGATTGTTCGTACAAGTCATTCCAATACTGGAAGACGCTTATTTGCAATCTGCGATCTTTAAAACTTTTATATTAAGTGAATGTTAACCTCAAGTAACAGCTGTACGTGTCAGAAAAAGTGCATTTTTTTCCGATTTTCTCGTGAAATCAGAATTTGCTGTATACCTTTTCGTGCATACTTTTATTCTGTGAAAGGATTTTGCAATCCATAAAGCCAATTTGGATATTTCTCCTCAAATCGTGATAAATCAGGACGACTTTAGCATCCCTTAACCATTTAGATTTGCCGCGTAATGATGACGTAATGATGACGTCAGCTGGCTGCAATTCTCATTGGTTATCTGGAGCTATCATGCGCGTGAGCCATATATGTAATACTCCTATATGGCTAGATGAGAGAGAAGTCCATGTCCCAGAACCACGGTGCGGGAATATACTTCTCTCTCTTTCTCAGTGTACTTTGAACGTTGTGCGCATGCGTCGGATTCATCCCCTCCATCAATGATAAATAGAAGGATAAACATACATATATGTGTAAGAAAGAAGGAAAAAGTGATAGATTCCGCTTCAGGATATAATCTTGTTACAGTTAAAAGAGTCAGTTTTGTCGGAATAAATAAATTAATCCTTATTTTATGAAATAAATTTTTTCAAAATTGCCGTTATGTATATAAGAATACAATGCAATCTCTTACAGAAATTTCATGATAATCAGTGCAAACTAATACCTATTACATACCTGTGCAAACTAATGTTTTCAGTCGCATTAGGCGCATTAGGCTTTTTGCCACATAAATAACATATCTTGACCATTTTGCCTGTGTACAGCACACATCTAATAAGCATAACGAGCATAACCTGTTCGCGTCATCTCACTGATCGCACTCTATTTTCCTATTGGCGGATGCGATCAATCCAACGCATGCGCACAACACTCAAAATAATCTTAGAAAGAGAGGGAAATATATATTCCCGCACCGTGGTTCTGGGACCGCTTCCTCTCACTCCCTCTTATAGGCACTAGCCATATAGTAGTATTACATATATGGCGTGAGCATACCCTTGTCTTTCTACCATGATAAAACCTATTAGGAACTGTAGAACTATTACGGGTGCAAACAGAACTGTTATTAAAATTTCCAATTTTTGAAGTTGAGGTGCTAGCTCCTATTTTTAAAATTTATTTAAAAATATTAATTGGCCGGAACTATTGATAAAACCTATCAGGAACTGTAGAACTATTGCGGGTGCAAGCAGAACTGTTATTACAATTTCCGATTTTTAAAGCTTGAGATGTTAACTTCACAGAGGCAAAATGACTTTAGTGTTCATCGTATCTGGGATATACGGTATTGCAAAAACTCTCTATTCTATAATTTTTGGAAAAATGTCTTAAAAGATATATTAGAAGTACAAATTAGTTCGGTCTGTTTTTTTTTGTGTTTAAAAATGCATTTATTTCAAAACAAAATGAATGAACAGATTAATTGAAGTATTGTCCATCGTTGGCTATTACTTTTTCCCATCTCTCAGGCAATTTTCGAATTCCATCTCGAAAAAATAACTCGTTTTTGGAAGCGATTCAATTTTGGAGCCAATTTTCGATTTCTGCGAAAGAAGTGAACCGATGACTTGCCAAATCGTGTTGCATCCTTCGGAACAACCAGTAATCAGAAGGAGTAATGTCCGGAGAATATGGCGAGTGCGATAAAACATCCCATTTGAGCGTTTCTAAATATTTTTTTACGACTTTTGCGACATGAGGCTGAGCGTTGTCATGAAGAAAAATAACTTTAACATATCTTTGCTCGTATTCCGGCCGTTTTTCTCGCAATGCATGGCTCAAACGAATCAATTGTAGTCGATACCGATCACCCGTAATGGAATCGCCAGGTTTCAGCAGCTCATAATAAACAACACCCTTTCAGTCCCACCAGATACAGAGCATGATCTTCGAGCCATGAATGTTCGGCTTTGGTGTTGAGGCCGATGGCAACGATTGACCGGACTTAGCACACTGAACTATATATACACTGGAATGGGCATCTCCGTTGTGAAGCATAGAAAATTGTGGCCGTTTTTGATCAGCCGCTATTTTGGCTGGGTCAGATGTTTGAGCGAATCAGAAGCTTTCAGATGCTCATGCGCACTTACGAGAGTTGTTTAGCTGTTTAGAGAAGAGAGAGAGTTGTTCTGAGAGTTGTTTTGTTTCGATCAATACATCGATTGCAACGCGCGCGCGAACGCTTCTGATTCGCACAATCATCTAATCCAGCTAAAATGGCGGCTGATCAAAAACGGCCACGAATTTTCCTCGATGCCCATTCCAGTGTATATAGTTCAGTGGCTTAGCGTAGTATTTTTTCTTTTTAGGGTTGTTGTAGAATATCCACTTCTCATCTCCAGTCACAATCTGATGCAAAAAAACCTTTTCTTTGTTGCCTTTAAATCAGCTGCTCGCAAGTGAAAAATCGCCTTTCAACGTCTCTCGGTTTCAGTTCAGTTCATAAGGGATCCAATTTCTTTGTTTTTGAATTATTCCCATGGCTTTCAATCGTACAGAAATGGCTTGTTGAGTTACTTCCAATGATTTTGCAAACTCCTCTTTGACTCTGATCTTTTTCGAGTAATGCCTCTAATTGTTTGTCTTCGAATTTTTTTGGCTGTCCAGAGCGAGGCTTGTCTTCAACGCTGAAATCTCCATCCTTGAAACGTCGAAACTATTCCCTACAATATGATTTATCAGTTGGAGCAGTGTCACCATAAACTTCGACAAGCATTCGATGGGCTTCAGCTGCACTTTTCTTCCAATTAAAGCAGAAAATTAAAACCTCTCGCAAATGCTGCTTGGTTAACACAAAATTCGACATTTTATTATTAGCAGATGTCTAATTAACCTCTCTGAAACCGCCGAAATCAGCTGTCACTATGAACCATTCACAATAGTCGGAGCCATCTTTTGGAAAACAGACCGAACTAATTTGTACTCTTAATAATTAGGTGTGAAGAAAAAGATAACGTGACTTTAGCGTTCACCGTATCTGGGATAAACGGTATTGCAAAAACTCCCTAAGTTATAAGATTATAATATGATAAAATGAATATAAATATATTATAATTTAGATGAAATGTTATGATGAGATATAAAATATGAAATATACCAAGGAATTTATATAAATATTCACTCATACGCATGCATTACATGTTCGGAATCCTTATCGTGTCCTCTTCAGATGAAAGGTAATAAAAAAACTGCGAGTGACTGCTTCCATGAAATATCGTGAAAACGTAGTCAAATGTTATCTTTATATTTTTATAATAACGTTTGACTGTCATAACGACTTCACACAGTTAGTCATTTTATTTTATTTAT